TGCGGGCTGGCACAGCAGGCTGGGAAAGCCCTTTTTCCAGGAGAAGGGAAGAGCGCTCAGACACGCGCTCGTGTCACAGCAGCGTAACAGAGACCTCGGCTACAGGAGCTCCCGTGCCAACGCGCTCAGCGTGGCCAGCACGGAGGAACACAACACCCCAGAGCTCTGTTCGAGCAGGCTGGCTGCGTTCCCACGGGCGATGTGCACGGCCCAGCTACACCCACGCACGGTAACCGGAGCGTGTGTGAGCTCGGGCAGCAAAGACACCATAAACCGCAGTGCTCCTCCTAGTGAAGATGGTCATCCCGATTGCTGCTTTGGCCTCAGGATGCCACTGCTTCTCTGTGGCTGCTCTGTGCAAGGGCCATTCACGCGAGTCTCTGGGGCTGAGCTTTGCTGCCGAGGTCCGAGCACAGCAGTGCTGGCTCGTGCACCCTGCGCTCAGTAGTCTTACCTTTTCCCCCTTTGGCCCTGGTGGTCCAACTGGTCCTGGTGGTCCTGCATGCCCCTGGGGAAAGCAGAGAGCACGTGAGGAAACGCAAAGAGCTGTTTGTCCAAAGGTCCTCCCCAGCTTCCTGCTAACTCTCGTGAGCCCTGCACGGTGCATCCTGGAGGGACCCAAGCTGCACAGCAGAAGGAATCAGTTTGGACAAGCCCTCACAATGCAAATAAAGATCGGAGAAAAAGCTAAACTAAACTCAGAGAAGGATCATAAATAGAACTTATTTTAAGACAGGTTTTGCATTTTAGAGCAATAGTTTGGCTATATTTTAGCACAGCCAGAAGCTAGAGGATAAAAACTAAAACTTTACCTGGTAGCCCTTTAAGCCTGGTTCCCCTTGAACACCCATCCTTCCTGGAGCACCCTGGAGAGGCAAGCACAGAAAGCATCATTAGAGCAGGCTGCAGGTGCTACCCCGTGACCCACGGGGTGTGCTGGGTGCCAAAATCAATGCTCAGCATTGCAGAGAGCGTTTCAGCGCAGCCATCCACTCCCGTGAGAGGCTTTTGCTCTGGCAGTCTCAAATAATCTTGCTTGGCTTTAATGCTTTACGTGAGCGATATTAGGACTCCTGTCTCCATCAACAGGTAGCAATAGGTTCCTCAGCTCATTCAGGTTTGCTACCCATGCACCCAAGCTCTTTCCCACATGCAAACTAGCTGGTACTTTGGGCTCCTGAAGCTTGTAGAGCTACTGCCCTTGCCTCTATGTTCCTGCATTAGGCACTGATACCTGTGAGCATGTCCTGGCCACCAATCTCTACATCTCCTCTCCAAGGCAGCTGCAAAGTCTCCGAACAACAGCATGTGGATCCTCATTTGCCAACTGCTCATCACTCCCTAGAGCTTTGCACTAGCAGTACAAGTGGCTCCCCAGTGCGTGCACTTTGCCTGCCCCTCTGGATGTCTTTATGCCAAATTGCCATTGCACTAGGAGGTCCACCAGTGAGACCATTCACACGCAGCACTGAATCCTAACTGAGGATTCAGGGAGGAAACTTTTGCTGTAGGATCTGCGGCCAAAGAGGGAGTTTCCTCAGCTGTAATGATCTGCTTATTGCGTCTTCAGCAGTCTGAACAGAATGGTTTAAAACAGACCTCACGTTAAAGTAAAAGGCAAATTTACCAGATAATCCCATTTAGCGTGAAAGAAAACCTTGAGAGAGACTGCAGAGACATGTTCAGTCCAACCGACTGCTTTGCTGCCCTGTGAAATAATCCATGGAGACTTTGCCAAGGAATACAGAGGGAGGATATGCACAGTGGCCATAATTTTAATGCAAGAAAGCACTATCAGCTGAACTGTTACTCCATCACTCCTTTGCTACTGTTCTAAAACAACACTGATTCCTGGCTTTTAAATTACTATATTCCCTCCTCTCTTTCACTAAATTCTAACAAAATAAGTGCAAGAAGTTTCTGTGCCAATCTGTGATGTGTGAGGAGGTATTTGGTACTGCTGCTGCCACCTTGACTTATTCATCTCATGTTCCTAAAGCAAATGGACTTTCTTGGCTCTTTGTCGTACCGCTCCTCTCTTCAAGTCTCACCTTCAGTCCTCAACTGAAACCCTTCTCCATGCTGTACTTCTTCTTGCTGCAAGTGTTTTAGATAAGTACATTGAGAGTGGGTGTAGAGACAGGGCACGAGGCCAAGGCAGAGTTCCTTATAAAAGCACTGTTTGACTTGGAAGCTGCTCTCACCATGAGTGTGCAGTCTCAAAGGGAGAGCTTGGAGCAAAAAATAGCTTATCAGCTCACTCCCCTTCTCAGGGACTATCTCCAGGGCTCCAGCCTGTTCGGGGAGCTCTGAAGAACTGCCACGGTGTAACGTGAGCTGGGTTCACGGAGCACCAACGCAAGCAACACTTGGGAGTCTCTCTTGTGCAGCGCAGAGCATGCGATAAGCTGTTTTGGTAAATCAATCCCCTCTAGCTTTGTTTGCTCCCTATGCTCTGAAACCTCCGCTCAGCTCCTCCAGCTTGGGCCTGTGCCCGCCCCACCAGTCGCATTTCTGCGCGTTGTGTTCGACCGTTTGCAGAGCTCTTCTCACCATAGGTCCCAGGGTACCTCGGGATCCTTTAGGGCCTTGGTTCCCCTTCGGCCCCTCCTTGCCCGGAGGTCCCGTCTCGCCGAGCTGCCCCTGAAAGCCCTTGCTGCCCTGCAGAGCAAAAGCACGGGCGTCACCACAGCGTGAAACTGCTCCTACAAACAAACAGCAAACACGAGCCAAGGAGGAGAGATCCAGAGGGAAACGTCAGCAATGGGAGATGTTCCTACCTTCTGGCCAGGCTTGCCCTTTTCTCCCTGTTTTCCTGGTTTCCCTTCGGGTCCCTAGGGGAGCAAAAAGAGTCACTGGAATGAGAAAGCAAAGACACCCCTTCCAAACACCTCGTGGGCACTTGTCTGCTGATCACAGCCCTGATGGCATCCTCATCCATGCGATCCAATGTCATGGGAGAATAGGGGAATAGTTATTTTATTTTCTATTTATCTGCCACACACCTTTCTGCTAACTTCCTGCTTACAATGCAAAATCTTTTCCTCTGTCTTATTCCTACTGCAATGCATAGTATACCCAAAACAGAAATCAAAACATACTCCTTTCTAGAAATAGACTCAGATGCAAAGGTGGAAGTCATAGCAATGAGATGCAGAAATATTGGCTTGCTTTGCACACCCGGCGTGTCTCACATGCAGCAGAACCTGCGACCCATCCTTGCACACACAGGACAGCAACTGGCTGCAGTGAGCAGCTAAATATAGCAGGCTGCTCCTCGGGAGCCCGGAGAGCTCCTCTGCTCAGTGCTTGACCCTGCTGGCTGCAGGGCAGACAACAGCTTTTTGGATTTGACAGAAAGAAACAAAAGCATCCCCGAGAAAAACAACTCGAGCTTTTTGGCAATGGCAACAACCTTCTCAACGGCATCTACACATCAGCAGGCATCGCTCCCTCTGAATTTCTGGCTCGCACTTAAGAAGGTATTATTATTTTCACCACCCTTGATGTTGCAGAAAAGCATCAGTCTCTTAGCTAAACAAAAAGAACTTAGAAAGTTAGCCATATCTGGGAGTTTTCACTCGGATCTGAAACACGGGCCTCATTAAGTGGCTGCTCTTAACACAAAGGAGGGATTCAGGCTGTTATAGCCCTAAACAATCATGTCAGTTCTTCACTTCCCCAAAGGGAACAGCTCCATTTTATATAAGCTGAACATTGCAAGAACCCTCCTTGCCAATGCTAGGAGAGCTCCACAAAGGACAGTTTCTCCACGCAGCAGTGTGTGATCCATCCCTTCCACATTGCTCACGCATTTTGCCTGCTATTTTTGCTACCACCTTCCAAGACTGGGTTACGATTTCCCATTGGAGCTGGGCAGCCTGGGCATCTATGTGATGAATTCCGGGTGCCAAACAGCTGGTGTCAAAGAGCAGCAGACTGGGAAATGACCATCCGTAGCCTCCTCCACAGCCAACCTGCCACAGGCTGCGCTGCCAGGTCCCTTCCCCACCTATCAGTCGTTATTTGTGTGGTGAAACAACGCTAACCCTTGCAGACCCTGCTCCACAGCAGTGTTGTGGGGCTCAGCAGCTTGCAAGCTTGGAGAGGGAATAGTGACTCTCTAAACAACAGCTTACTGTCAAAGCAAGACATGAACAAGTAACGACACAGCTGGGATTTCTAATTAGTTATATAATATTTCTCCATCAATCTCCTTGGACTATGCAATAAGGTCTTTCGGAAGTACAGACGAAAGAAATTCCTTGCAAATAGGAGAGAGCCCATTTTGAGCTAAACCTCTTCCTGGCCCTGGTGACAAGTCCTTGCTGTTCACCAGCAGAGCAATTTTGCACATCTCGTGCACTCCTGAATTGCTCTGTTGTGACATCTGAACCGAAACCTGCCATGCTGCTTGCATCTGCCTCCCCGTGACAAGGAAGTGTTGCAATTCATGTAAAAATTACAAATGCTGATGAATTGACCAAATGTATTCTTTTATGAATGCATGGGAAAGAACTCCTTCCTACAAAGGGGAGGGCACAGGCGTCTCACCACTATATGAGAAGAATCAATCCAGCCTGGTTCCTCCCCATCCGGATATATTTCCCTCCCTGTATCATCTTATTCCTTATGACCCACTGGCCTCACTGAGCAGGGACACTCATCTACTCCAGAAGGCTCTGCTGAGTCCTTGGCTGGGGTGCAGCTCCTTCATTGCTGGAAGATAAAAAAAACTGGCAGCATCTCTAAATCTTGTCATCGATCGCAGTGAAACCAGCTGTCACTCCCAGTAAAACACTGAGATCTTAGTCTGAGCTTCCCTCACTGCTGTTAGGTCTTGTCTGCTGGTGGAAGGCTTTGCTGGTGTAAATAAATGGGTCAAACCACGCTGGCAACACACCAGGAGCAGAGACGTGGCTTGGATCTTGCAGCCTGAGCCACCTCCTCCGGTGGACTGAGCTGTATCAGCACAGGGTGTTTCTGTGCCCTACCAGGCTGCTTTCTAGGACTTTGGCCAGCACAGCCCTGCTACCATGTGTCCGATTTTCCTGGATGTGCTCTCTCTAGCTGTGCAAAAAGTTTGTGCAGATGAAATTAGAGGATGTTTGTCTGGGCTCCCCAGGTATGTGGTATCTCAACTCAAAACGTCTCAGATGTGGTTGCCATCCATTGCAGTCCCTGCAGTTCACAGGGCACCTACACGAAGGGCTTTGCAGTTCCTAGAATTCACGTGCCCCACGACATGCAGACGCCACAGCAAACCCAGCACCAGCTTTGGGAGCCTTTAAAAAGATCAGATTTTTTTTTCCATTCTTTGGATGCATCTGCCTAAGAACAGGACTGGAACAGAACAAGAGAACTAAAAAAAAATCCAATTCTGTGTGATTGTAACTTCAGCTAGGGTTTCCAGACCACATCAGGAATGGAGCATCTTCTGGTACCAGCTTCACTGTAGGCTGTTTCCAGGCTTCCTCCACGCTCCAGCAGAAACAGCAATGAGAGGCAGAAAATATAGAAAAGTCTATACATAAAAATAATTCATTCCCAAGTTCTTTTTGCTGGATTTAAATCAGCAAGTGTGCCAAAGCATTAAACACTTGATGCTTTTTATTCTTGGAATTCGTACACATTTTGTTGTATGGTTGAGGTTACTGGTTTGCTGAAAAAACAAATCTTTCCAAGTTTCTTCCACAAGTGGGATTATTTTTAAACAGTGATTTCTCGTGATATACTGTGCTCTTTATTGGACTTGTGTGCCAGTACCGCCAGAAGAGCTTGGTGTTTGTGACTGGGGTTGTGGGACACAGCAGTTTTACAAGGTCATGTGCTTTCAGGTATGCCAAAATAATAAAAGAAACCCAAAACTATAATCTTAGGTTTATCTTGTTTAAAATAACATTGCCAGCTTCACTAAGAACTCAATTTTATATGTTTTCAAAAATGGCATCAGATATTTCCCTGGGATAAAGCCAGACAGTTTGCTTTCCAATAATTCCAAATTGATTAGGTTTCAGGGAAGAAAATGGTGCTTTTGGCCGCTGATGGCTTGGCAGTGAAGTTTGGTCTCTGGCACAGCTCAGCAATGATGTTACTGGGAGCAAAGAGATGAGCAGCCCAGCTTTAAATTCTCAAGGCATCAACAGTTGAAATCCATGTTACAGCAACAACATCCAGAGAAAGAAACGGAGGAAGCAGGACTGTGGATAGATATAGCCCAAATGGAGCTAACAACAAGGTTGAAATCCATCCCCCACATTAGTGGTTCACACACCAGACCTTGGGAAGCACCAACCAAGCTGCTCACCAGGCTGGTTTCACCAGGGAGAGCTGTGGCTCTTGGCGCTTCAGATGAGAAGCTTCCATTTCTGCTGCAGACTTGCACGATGGCCCAGGAGGGAAGCACTGCGAGGGCCGGGGCCTGGTGAGGCTTCTTCCTGAACCCCATTGCGCACAGGCCCAGGGCCGCTCCAGGCCAACGCGGAGCAGGAACTTACTGGGAAAGCTTCTAGATGCCAGTGAGTGAAGGCTTGGGCTTGAGGATGACTATTCTCTACCAAAAATGAGACAGGAAAAGTAGAACCAGGATACAACTACTGAGGAAAGAGAAAAGAAGGCCAATGGTGAAGGAAAAAATTGGGGATAGTTTGAGGCACCAGAAGTTGGGAAGACAGAAAAAGTAAAGCAGCAATAAAGGTAACAAAGCAAGAAACCTAGGACCATGCCCATATTTGTTCCAGATCCAGCCAACCAGCTCATTTAAAGGGAAATGAAAAAGCCCTGTATCATTTCCTACTGCTCAGCAATGTCTCCAGATGAGAAACTCTGCTTAATAAACTTTGATCGAGAGAAGCCTCCCCCTATAGAGGACAGTTCACAAACACTCAGGAAATTAGTGGGATTATTGGAGCTGGGCATTTGAAGACATAAACATTTCAGATTTATAAGAAACATATTTCATAATCTTTGTCTAGCAGTAGTGTGGGAGAGGAGGAGACTCGGCAGCAGCTCCTGAATGAATATAGGGGAAGAAGGAGGACTCAACTGTTCTTGAGAAAAAAGACCTGATTGAAATTTAGGGTTAAAAGGACTTCATTTGGGATCACTGGGAAAAAAAAAAAAAAAAGGGTCATTGGTTAGTTTGGGAAAACCAGACTCATGGTGAGCACAGGTAGAGCTGGCTGGCTGAATTAAACGAAATAATGGGGAAATCCTATAAAAAGAGCTCAGATGGAAAGAGTACAGCTAAAATCCACATGACTACCCTTTCACTTGAATTCCTCAGCTTAAAATGTGAATTCTAACCCCAAATCTCATATCCAAAACTCCCTGCTTGAATGGAAGTTCTCAAGTTCTCATCTGTATGCAGATGTTGCTCTCTGAGCTCCCACTCTGAAATATGTGAAATCCTGTTTTCAGGAATGGGAACTCTGAGTGGGTATAGGGTTTGTATTTTTTTCTAAGCAGCCACAGGGTAAGTTGGCAAAGAAGACAGCACGCAGAACAGCACTGCATGTTCTGAGCTGGCTTGGTCGGGTCTGATAGACCTGAGCTGCTGCTCATTTATTTTTCTGGGAAAACCTTTTTTTTCTCCTCTCTGCCTTTATCTCCTCATCTCTAACACAACACAGTGTGCAAAGGTGCCACCAAAACATGGCTTGATGGATGGGATGTGCAGGAAAAGCGTCATCTCCTCTGGATGGTGAAGCTTCCACACAAGGTGAAACCAAAACACTCCAAAGAGTGAAGCTATGTGCAGGCTGAGGACCAGGAAGGAAGGACCAGGGTGAGCACTTGGGGAGTATTGCTCCTATTTACCCTAACAAGTCCTACT